CGACAAGTATAGGGGAGATGTGCAAAGACATCTAACACACTACCCCTAACTCCATAACAATCGAGAATGCTAAGAAGTGAATGGTGGTGCACCGTATCTAATGCCGTCGCAAGGTCCAGGCAAAGAGAGGCAAACCATTTGTGTCCCTTGTCAAGATTCTCATTTAGTCGTTTATGTAGTCTTACAGTTCATAGATGGCATCAGTGGTGCTCAAACCATGCATAAAACCAAACTGATGTGGTGATATGATTTTTCCTTACCTCTACTAAATCCATTATCGATTTCTCTTTCATGCCATCTTCCAGAATGTTTAGTTCTTTACCATTTTATTTGACGAGAGTCAAGCAAACTACTCTCAGGTGATCAAGTGGAGCAAATTTCAAGAAATGAACAATTCTGAACGTCGGCCTTTCCTACGAATGGCGAATAACAGAACATCTAAAATATGTAATTATGAAAGAAATATATGAACCAGACTAATGGAAAGCTTTTGGTATCATTGAAGAGTTCATTACGCATTTGCCAAATTCAGAAACATTAAGAAATCATCTATCCAGAATCGTAACGACATTCGCATCTATTTTGGTATTAGAGTTGAATTTAGAACATTTTCAAAATTTGTTCGGCAGAAATAATATATGCCCAACTTAAAAGAGAAGCAGGAACCACCATACAATGTCTCGTAGATTCTGTATATGGAATCCAATTCTCTGATGAAATTTTGTGCTCTACGTCGTAGCTCTAGCGCCGTTTTATTTAAAAGACCCTCGTATACAACCTTTAATGTGGCCATTCAATAAAATTTAAATTATCATTCCACTTCTAGGAAACCCACCACGATGTTTATCAAATTTGTCTTACCGTCATCGATTAGTCGGTTAGTAGAAGTGGCTCACTTAAATGGTATACTTACAATGTCAAAACCGTTAAAAATGGCTCGTCCCAATAAGCCGCTAAAGGCGGGAAAGTGCAAACTGTTATGAAATAAGTATATGCAAGAAAATGAATTAAACATTAAACCAAACTATTCATTGTTTATTAGATTGAAATACTTTTTTCCTATAACGTCAGCTATTTCGAGGCACGTCACCATCCAGAAAAAATATCAGCGTCTCAATAAACGAGGAAAATACTTTGTTGATGCAACTCTAAGGCAATTCTTACCTTCGAAAACGTGACACTTGAATTATCGAATGTAATACCACAAGAGGTTTCAGGATTACCGGATAATACTTTTACCTGTCTTGAAACGCGTTACGCAGCAACACCATGACTCCGAAGGAGGAGTGGTGTTGCTGGTAACCTGAAACATCGAGTGGTATTCAAAAGGTTATACAACGAACTAAACTTTAATGCTTTATTAATTTTTATTATTATTATTAACAATATAGCCACCAAGCGCGATAATCCTAAAAGGCTTATCACTTATTAAGCCTCTCGTGTCATATGGGAATAATGTACAGTGAGTTGTATAATCGATGTAAACCTAAATAATTGTAGGTAAATGAGCCGGAAAAAATGGAAAACATAATCCTAGCCGAGGATGTTTAGATTTCACAGCGGGAAAGTAATTTCCGTACGCATGAATATTATAGTTTAAAAAAAAGTTGAATTTCCGACTGCTCGTTTCTCATCATGTGACCTCCTTTTGGGTTGCTAACATGCTAAATTTTTCTAGATTCTTTGACGTAATCTTCACTCGAGCATTAGCTTTGTCCATCTATCGTATCGCAGCCCGAATGTCCGATTAAAAAATATGATGTATCTTTGGCTGAAGTTATGTGCTTATTTGCCCTGGAACCTTTGTGACCCAGCTACTTATCATAACAATGTTGAAACAGTTCTCTTTATACTATAAATTTTCCTGACTCGTCGTGGATTCTCACTGACCTACTTCGGCTGATCTCATGTTCTGTTTCGCCATAACAATAAGTTACAATGCATCCGAAATGCCAAGGCGACTCAGGTATCGGCCGTCGAATTTGATAGCTTTGTTTTTCCAGTTCAAGGTTTTGAAGACGTCCTACAGTAAAGGAGTGAAATTTTGTGAGAGATGGCATTTCCTTGCCGCACCCCGCCCATAGCAGTCTGTGACAAGCATTGAGGTAGGTGACAAGGAACTTACCTATTCGGTTGTCATTTGAAATAGCATAAAGGAAAACAATGGGGATATTTGATGCAAGTTTGCTTATAGAAACCTCGTTTTTATCCTTGCATTATATAGTTTTTTTGTTGTATATTTTGGACTACAATTATAAAATTAATGCAATTTTTTAATTGTTAGTAGGTTTAGTTGTAGAACAACAGTTTTTCTAGTGTTGAAAAAGGATTTATGCCACGTCATTTTAGTATTAAGGAATCACGACATTCAGTTTGGCATCGTTGCACTGTCTAACGTCAATTAAGTTATGTTGACCAGCGTTAAACGAACAAGATGCAAATAACGAATGAGGAGTTTCATCATTGTCACTCTTCAGAGCTTAGACAAGAAAAGCATATAAGATGTGCGCCAGAACTATTGTGAACGATTCTTATTGGTCGGAATGTGTATATACGTCATACAATGGCGCCATGCCAGTACCTTTAAATATGTGGGATGAAAACATTTTTGAAAATTATTTTAAAAATAATTAGGACATTTTAAACCCAACTGGAAGCAAGGGTATTTTTATTTTGGTTAATACAACTGATTATTTCATTCATTATAAAATAGACCCATCAGACAACGTCATTTTTTGAATGAATTTTGTTTAAATAAGTGATTATTTCACAAGACCTTGTTTATCAGCGATTAAATTTTTGTTTACCTTTTTTGACAGAATTTTGATAGAAATATTCTGACATTTTATAATAAATAGAACTCTTTGGATAGGATTGACGCCAATAATTCAATCCTAATTATTCAGGAAATAATCTAGCCGTATACCACTCGACCTATAAATTTAAATGGATTAAACTATCCAAATATTTTTTGCATAATTTTGCTTTTTGGCAAATAGTTTCATGCACAATAACTTTTAAATAAAAGCCCCCGACCGATGCTCAAAATATGTTGCATAGTTTAATCGATTAAATTTAAAGGTCTTGTGATATAATATATGATTAAAAATAATAAAACAATGAAATTCAAATATGGTGAATGCCCCCATTCTGATACCAAATTCAAATGCCAAATTCATGCTCAAAAAATTTTGTTTCCAGATACTTACGTCAAAAGTATTGAGTAGTAAACAATTAAACAAAAATTAAACTCATCATCCATTGAAATTATCACTTGATATGTTTTCGGAGCAGTGAACTCTATTTGATTTTGGACTATGAGGGGTTAAACTACTTGTACTTTGATAGCACTTGACGCTAAATCTTGATGGTTTTGCAAAACAAATGTCTAGGTAAATATAATCTCTCCAGCAGTTCTTCTCGACTACAATCATTTGTGATTAGCAAGTAGAGGCTTCTGGAAATTAGAAAGATGTACAAGTGTGCACAAGTACAAGCACAGACAAACCAAAAACGAGCCTATGAAAATGTTAATTTTAAGTCTTACTTTATTACTTTTTTTGTATTCAGAATTCATTCTCATAAACAATGCCTGTCAAACTACAAATCACAGAATTGTTTTTTTTCTACGCCCATTCCGACTTAGTTTTTTATTACATAATAGCTTCATTCTATCACTAGTGAAAGAATAATTATTCCATCAGTTGTTATGGAATGAGTTCCTGGGGCGCCATCTAACGTTACAGCTGAAAACTACACTACGCAAAGTGCAGAAATACTAAAAAAACTTAGAAATTGCTAAAAAAAATAAATAAAATGCAAGTCATTGACTGATATAGACTAATCACGATAGAAAGTGAAGTTGACAGTTCGCGTTGACATTTTTAGTAAACTTTTTCTTTAGGTTGCCAGCATGCGTTAGCGCTTCGATTCCGTCAGCTGGGTTAAACGACAGGGTCGTATTTAGAAAAGTGATATACATTTCAGAATAAAAATTTATTTTCAATTTCTTTAAAGGAAGTTGAGTTATTAAAATCCAAAAATCCTAAAATTAGAGTCCAAAGTAAACACTTATAATAAGAGTAAACACTTAAATCCAAACTAAAACCAGGTTTGAAACGCAACACCGAAACACAAAGGCACAGAACACTACATAAAAAACCAAAAAACCGATTGCGATAATAACAAATAAAAAAATAATGCAGAAAACGGCAAAAAACTGAAAGATTTCACACAAAAATTCGAAATTCAAAATTCAAAGACCCGAATCTGTTATTTTTATGTCAAATCAAAATGTCATGTATCATTATTTGATAGTTGTCAGAAAAAGAGACAGATCTGGGGATTTTATTTATTTTCAACTGGTGAAAATAACGGTCAAAATTCAAACTCTCTCGTGAATATGACTATATCAACGATTTATATTAATTGCTAGAGCAAGAAGTGCAGCAAAATTATTGTAATTTGTAGCCTTTCTGGAGAAAAAAGGATGGAAAATAGAAAACGCTATTTGACAACGTTTGACATATTGTCAAAAAATTAAAATCTGGAATGACAACATTAGGCTGTTCATTTGTACTTGCTACCTGCTCGAAAAATCAGGAAGATCTGCTAGGAGCTGCTATTTATGAGCTAATTAAATGGGAGTTATAGGACAAGTGAACGCCGATCAGCTGCTGAAATCTGCTTGAAGCAAGAAAAGCAGTACAAATGAACAGCCTACATGAGTTCAATGTTCATGTCACACCACATTGGTTGTTAACATTGTTTGATTTGAAGTCGTAGAAGAGGTATAGTCTAAAACACGCGTGGAATTCAAAATTCTACACTCAAATAGCCGTTCACCTCGCGTTCGGCTCGGGGAACAAACCTCTCGTGTAGAATTTTGTTTATTCCACACTTGTTATAGAATATACTCTTCTTGATTTGGGGTTGCCGACTCGAGGGTGACTTTCCGTCAATGATAAAATTTCTTAAAACAAATAGAAAAAAAAAAACAATCTAGGTCCTTTAAAAATATAATGTAAGTACTTGTACAAAACGAGTATTTTCTATGTTGATTAATTTTATCACAGTGTCATATCCCTAATTATATAATAATTAAATCATTTTTCTAAAATAAATACTCACAAAGGTGATTCAAAATTCATGCCCCAGGCTGAGTTAGAAGAAATTATAGAAAATTGAGGGTGACAAATTTACCAATAATGTTTTTTACTTGAAAGTTCAGAAAAGCTAACAATTAATTAATCGTTGTCAGATTTACCTCAAACTTGGAACATTAAAAATTATTCGCTTCGTTTGATTCAAGGAAAGCAAATATTTCTGCATCAAATTCGCATTAGCTTTTTCAAATAAAAATAGAGTTGAACATTAGAGTAGACTGACAGCTACAACACCAAGAGGAGACGTAAGAGCCGCATATCCCCCAAAGCAAAACATGGATATCATCATGGCTAGCTCTATACGATCAGGTGGTACCGATCTAGAACAATAAATACAGTAAAATACTTTAGTAATAACTATTATAATCTTACCTCATAGTCTTGATGCTAGTCAAATTCATCATAAATCCGTCGGAGAGAGCCTTCAATCCAGTCAGAAGTGAATATTCCCAGTCGTGGGATAGCAATACCGGCAAATGGTGTCTAGGCTTTGCGTTTGTGAAGAACAAAAGGGATCCTAATATTGCAGCTCTTGATATTGAGACTAAATATATAAGTGGCAGTGGCAGTTCCTAATGTTCAAATAATTTTGATTAACTATGGTACAAATTATGTTTAAGTGAGTGACTTGACATGCTTTTTACAGTTCCATCAACTAAGAAATGGCCGGCAAGATAAATTTGATTCTTGATTTTGTATTTATTAATGCTGATGGTGAATAATTGATGAGCTGAGGCTTCTATAGTTTGTCTACACTATTGTTGGTAGACGAATGTGTTAAAATATGTTTCATGTTAGAATTTAGTACTAGTTCTTAGTCAGTTTAACAGTGATAGTAGTTTTTATAAAAGTGTCAGAACGCCGGTTCTTCCTTCTATATTTTTACGTTGTGAATTTGAAATAAAAGACTGTAAAGTTACTTCGGCTGGTAATGTACATTATCCACGCACCTCAGAGTAAATTTCTACAGGTTCTGAGGGGCTTAAGCAGCCATTGAAATGTAGACACAGCTAAAATCGATGTTTGACGATAGTGGGTTTACAAGACGGACCAATTTTTTGAGAGCACCGATTTCTACAAGGTTAGAGAACTGCGATTCGATGTATCAGTACATAAACCAGATTGTAGAAACGAGTCAGAAATTCAGGGGCACAGGCTTTAATATAGATGATGAATGGACAGGGTCCATACTGTAAGCAGGTTTACCAGATAAGTGTATGCTCATGATAATGGCTATAGAGCATTCTGGTTTAGCCATAACCGCAGACGCTATCAAGCAAGTTCATTGATATGGAAAGCGGAGCAGGAGTGGGGTACAGTACATTTCTTGTAAAAAAGAAAGCTGGTAAGAAGGAGAAAGACCTGAGAAAGATACAGTGCGTTGGAGGCAAAGAATTTGGACACTACAAATCCAAATGTTCATAGCAAGTAAGTGATCAGAAATTGAAAAAAAAAAAACAGACACTGTCTTTAGCGCAGTATTTCTCAGCGGAGAGTACAGAAAAACAGATTGGTTTGTTGCAGGGGCGCCAGTGTTCATTTGGTCTCAGATGAGAGTTTGATAGTAGAGAAAAAAGCAATATGAAAAACAAAACAGATCATATTTGCAAACAAGTCGACAGTTCCTGTAGCTGGATGTGGTGACGTCAGGATTAAAAAAGTTGTTGAAGACGAGTCAATCGTCATTGTAGTACAGAGCGCACTTCAAGTACCAAAGATCTCAACAAATTTGTTATCATTGAGTCAGCTTAGCAAGAATGGAAACAAAATCATTCTTGAGAAACAGTGTTGCAAGATTTAGAACAAGAATGACAAGTTGGTATCTATCGCTAACTTAAGTCAATGGTGTTAACAAGCTGAAATTGAAATCAGAAACAGAGAGCTGTTTGATGGCAAGTAGACTGTGCAGTGCAGAAACGTGGCACAGGAGATTGGGGCATCTGAATGGTGCAGACCTAGAAAGAATAAGAAATGGTGCTGTAGATTACTTAGAGTGTCCCAAGAAGATTGACATTGGCAAGTACACCTGTGAAACTGATTGTAAAGGAAAACAACACAGATTACCATTTCCAAAGGAAGCTGAAAATGTGCTAGACATTATACATTGTGATGTATGCAGACCGTTGGAAAATAAATCAATAGGAGGTTCGAGATACTTTTTGATTTTTGAAGATGACTACTCAAGGTATGTGCTTGTTTGCTTTCTAAGGACAAAAGACGAAGTCACAAAATGTTCAAAAAATTTTAAGAATCTAATAGAAAACCAGCAAGATAAAAAGATAAAAATTCTTAGAAGTGACAACAGTGGCGAATTTGCCAATATAGAAATGGAAAGCATTTTGAAGAAAAGTGGAATCATTCACCAAAGAACAAACCATGCAAACTTGGAAAAGTGTTTTTGGGCTGAGGCAGTCCATACCGCAGTTTATCTCAGAAACAGATCCCCAGCATCACAATTAAATGATAAGACGCCATTTGAGATTTGGCACAAGCAAAAATCAAGTGTAATTCACGTCAGAATTTTTGGCAGCACAGTAATGGTGCATGTACCATCGTCACCAAAAGTAACTGGGACGCAAATAATGCATAATAATCTCCTGGACTAATTCTACTGTCATTCATTTCAATGCATTCAATGCAAAGTTTGACAAATATTTGACAATAAAATTCATATAATAGGACAAGAGCTAATGTGATGCGGTCCCAGTTACTTTTGGTGACGATGGTACCTAAAGAAATGTGTTTGAAGTAGGACAAGAAAGCTGAAAAAATAAATAAAATCTGGTCGGCTACAGTGAAAACGTGAAAGGATACCGAGTATATAATCCCAAGAGTCATTTAGTCAGTATGAGCAGAGATGTGATTATTTTTGAAGATGTCAAAAGTAATGTCACAAGTGCAAGCAATGACAAGAAAATTGAAATATCAGAAGAGGTCATAGTGGGGGAAAACCAAGATTCATCTGCTGAAGAGAATTCTACACTTGAGACACCTGAGAATGAGTCAGCTCACAACTCAAATGAGTCAGATAACAATACAAGTGAGTCATATAAATTACCTGAGAACATACAACTAAATAGCAGTGAATATTTTTCTGAAATCGAAATCACTGAAAATCGGGAAGCTGAGCCTAGGAGATCTAGGAGAGAGCCAACACCCAAGAAGATGGATGATTACGTGACATATTTGTGTGCTTCAAGCAAAGTTTTAAAGTTGCATAAAGCAGTTTATGGGCTTAAGCAGTTAAGTAGGGTATGGCATCAGAGGCTTGAAGTTGTTTTATTAAATTTGGGCTATCAGAAATCAAAATATGAGCCATGTCTTTTTCAGGAAAGAAGTAATAATGGTGGCCTGACTATCATTGCACTTTACGTGGATGACTTTTTTATTTTTTCCGATAATAGAGAAGAAACTAAATTTTTGAAAGATAAGTTAAGCAATGGAGCCAGGTTTAAAGCTAGAGAAAAAGTCCCAATAGCAATTTTTCAGGGCCGTATCAAGAACTAATTGGCAGTTTAATGTATTTGTCAGTTATGACAAGACCTGATGTTCCTTACGCGGTCAGTTACTTCAGTCAATTTAACAATTGTTACGATGAAACGCACTGGAAGGCTGCTAAAAGGAGCCTGAGATATTTGCAGGGAAATAGAAATTTTTGTCTAAAATTTGAAAAATTTGAAAATTTTGAGCTCGTAGGACACGTAGACGTAGATTGGGCAAGTAATTTGTTAGATAGGAAATCTTATACAGGTTTTTGTTTCACTTTGTCTGGTAGTGTCATTTCCTGGGGTACTTCAAAACAAAAAACTGTTGCTTTGTCAAGTACAGAAACGGAGTATATGGGATTTGCAGAAGGGGCAAAAGAGGCAATTTATTTAGGAAATTTGTTATCAGAAATTACTGGGAATAAGATAGGTAGTGTTAGATTATGATTACGATAATCAGGGAGCTCAAAAACTTGCTAGCAATCCAGTGTTTCATAAAAGGTCCTAACATGTAGACGTTAGGCATCCTTTTATGGAGTTCAAAATATTTTTAGTCAAGCCGAGTGCTTTTATGTTAGAACTTAGTAATAGCTTCTATGCAGTTTGACAGTCACAGTAGTTTTTACAAAAAGTTCAGAACGCCGGTTCTTAATGTAATTTATCCACGCACCTCAGAGTAAATTTCTACAGAATGACCATCATATATTTATGGGTAATACACGTTACTTGGAAACTCTACCTATCATCAGGCAAAGTGGAAACCAAAATGGTTCTTTGAAAATCTTCAAAGCTTCAGTAAGCATCCAACCAGGCAGAAATTCATGCAGTCCCAGCATGCGCACAGGAGATTCTAAAGCTGGGTTACAACAACCAGAACACCATCATTCTCTCAGACAGTCAGGTTGCTCTGAATGCTCTGAACTCACATTGATTTACTTCGAAGATAATGATGGACTGCCTACACGACCTGATAGCTCTGTCATCAAGAAATAACAGGATAAAGCTCCTATGGGTTCCTGGGCATTCGGAGATAGAAGACAACGAAAAGACTGACCAGAACCCGCATTTGGGATATCGTTATAAAGACGGCAGTTGAAATGTGGTCGACCCATCAACACCTCAACCTTTGGCTTTTCAGACCTGGAGCAAGACACTCGAAAGGGATAATTTGTAATTCCTCAAAGATTCTAATAGCTGAAGTATTGTCACTAACGCGTTCTCAGATAAGACGGGTGGTAGGACTTCTAGCAGGACACTGCCATCTTAGAGCACAAAAAATGAGTCTACAATGGACCAATGACTTGTAGACTGTGTGGTGAAGAGTGAAGAGAAAAAAACCGCCTCACACAAAATATACGACTGTGAAGTACTGGCACGCAGAAGACACAATTTATTTGGAGGAATACAAGACGGCGAGAGACTCCCGCATGAGAGACTTGCCAGTAAGCCGCTTAGATCTCATCAAAGGAACGGAAATGGCTTGAGCAAAACAGGGAGTAGCACAATAAGCCTTAAGGCTGCAGTGAAAATCGCCTGACCCCACCTTAAACGAACTTACGAACCAACCAACCATCCAAGGTAGTTTGCAATCTTTCTACAAAGGTTTGCAATGGTATCGCTACTTTCTTCTTCTGCATTATTTGTCATTACTTCTGCTTTCTTCAGATTCCTCTCCAGGCCCATTCCGGATGGTCCCACCAACTGACTAATCATCAACTTTTCAGAACTGTTGGAATGAGTTTGTGTTATTTATTTGTGTCTTCACGTCGGAATTTTGTTTTGATCTGCACGAGTCACGATAGAAGTTTTTCACAGCTGGAGCGATTATGTTTATGTCAATTTCCTCTATTCCATCTTCATTTTTTACTCAGTCACGGATTCAGGTATTTTAGGCTTTGAAATCTCTTCTATTACTCTTTTTATGAACGTTCCTTTATATTTTTTTTGTGTCTTCTTGGATTCTGTTTCCCTTGCATTCTGTTCAAAGCTTTTTCTTTGTCCCCTTGGTTTTCTTGCTTCAGCACTTGTCATATTGTTTGTAAGGCTTTCGGGGCCCAGGTTTATTGATAAAGTGTTTTCATTCGGGCTCAATGGCCCTCGTAAGTTGGAATTTCTTCCTAACGTTTCGCTAGCATGGCTAGCATCTTCAGAGGTGCTTCCATGTCCGATTCTGGTAGCAGACTGACGCGTTCCCGACTGCAAGTTGTATTTATTTATGAGTGGTGTGGTGCGGGAGACGCGGAGCTTTGCAGCACGTGGCTAATCTGAACTTCCTCTATACTCAATGGGATCTTTCTTGCCTTTTTGGAGGATCGGGTTCCAAATTTGGTTAAGTTTTAGTGTTTCTTCTTTCCTGTTGAAGTTCTCCGTATATTTGTGGATTTTTATAGCTTCACGTACAAGACTATTGTGGTATCCGGAAGTCGGTGCAAGAAGCTTGACCTCACCAAATAGTATTTCGTGATTCCCTTCACAAAGCGCATGTTCCGCTACTGCCGATTTCTCCGATTGTCCTAGTCTGCAGTTTCTTTTGTGCTCGTTGATCCTGGTTCCCATGGATCTTTTTGTTGTTCCTATATATACCTTGCCATATGTGCATGGTATACGATAGACTCCAGGATCAACGAGCACAAAAAAAACTGCAGACTAGGACAATCGGAAAAATCGGCAGTAGTGAAACATGCGCTTAGGGAAGGGAATCATGAAATACTCTTTGGTGAGGTCAAGCTTCTTGCACCGACTTCCGGATTCCACAATCGTCTTGTTCGTGAAGCTGTAAAAATCCACAAACATACGGAGAACTTCAACAGGCAAGAAGAAACACTAAAACTTAGGCAAATTTGGATTTTGGATTTTGGAACCCGATCCTAAAAATGCAAGAAAGATCCCATTGAGTACAGAGAAACTTCAGATTAGCCACGTGATGCGAAGCCCCGCCCCTCCCCCACCAAAATCCCTTACACATAAATACAACGTGCGATCGGGAACGCGTCAGTCTGCTACCAGAATCGGACATGGAAGCACCTCTGAAGATGCTAACCACATCACTTGATATTGTTTATGTCATTTCTACTTTCGATTCTTCTTTCATGTCATTTTTCAGGAAGTTTAGGAGATCTTCTCCATTTTATTTAATGAAAGTCAAGCTTCATCCTTTGGTCGAATAACTAAATACAAACTCGACCTCTAGTTTGATTTCAGCTCTCAGGAATACTATGATCACTGCCTGAGATATCTTTAAAGTTGTCTCTACTTTTACGCGAAAAAATCGTTTTCTATTCTAGCGTCTGGTGAATTCTGGGTTCATTTTCTGCTGGGTCTACAATTGAAAAACCTAATTAACAGCGTACATATCCAAAGTAGTCAATTTTGTATTCCAATTTGTATGCCGATGATTTAAGTTTTCGTCCATGGTTCTTGATATTTCTTCAAGAAACATTTCTATATCTTAGTCATGTACAGTGAATGATTTATGAGAGCAGACGTGCAGACGATTCAACTAATGGTAGAAACCATTCTGGCAACTACTCCCAAGTCTCAAGTGAAGCAAATTATAAGTAATAATCAATTCTGAACCCATTCAAATCATCTATCAAGAAGTGTAACCACATTCGCATAGGTGACCTTGGAATAGGTTCAAAAAATCAAATATGCCCAACATGGAAGAAAAGCAGGAACCACCATACAACACTTTTAATGTTGCCCTTCAATAAAATTTAAATTATCATTATACCTAATTCTTTCTAGGAAACCCACCACGATATTTATCAAACTTGTCTCGCCGTCATCGATTAGTCGGTTACTATAAGTGGCTCACCTACATGGTTTACTTACAATGTCAAAACCGTTAAAAATGGCTCGTCCCAATAAGCCACAAATGGCGGGTATTAGGAAAGTGCAAACCGTTATGAAATAAGTTTCTGCAAAAAAATAAAAACTAGTAGATACATATTAAGTCAAACAAATCGAAACTCACGTCCCCAAACGCTGTCAGTACCATAATACTCAGACACTACTAGAGCGGTTATTGAACCCACCGGTATAATCATATCAAAAAGTGGCAAAAACAACAAAGGCCATATTTTTAGTGTCACATCTTTAATGTCATTGTAGTTTCTTATTTGTTGTTTGGTTTCCGCTTTGGCATTACGTGTGAAATACCTAAAATATAGTTGAACTTAAATGAAAAGTTTCTAAAATTCTGGTTGTCCTTTACCTGAAAAACTCAGTTTTTGTAGCACAGAACAGCACGATAGTCATCCCTACCATTAAGCAACTGCCTGTGATAAAGTACAATAAAGCCGAGCTTGTGGCTGACGGAGCAATGTAGATCGTAAGTAAACGTAGAACGGCGGAAAATACTTGTGATACACCTTCTCCTGTTAGTTTCGCTTTCATGTATTTGTGTGGTAGCTTAGAGATTAGACCCATTGCCCCAGAACCACCAAGTGACATTGCACCTAAAACAAGTTTTATTAATAAAATGGTTTTTGAATATAAGGGTTACTTACAGGACATTACAAATGAGCTTCCTAAGGATATTCCGAAAAAAATTCTTTGCCCTATAAGAAAAAAATAATTGTTCATTTAGTATATAAAAGTATATTATTTCATAGATAGGTATATACGTATAGTGTGCTAGCTCTAGCTGCAATTTTGAATTCCACTTCGAGAAAAAAGAGGCACTAGTTTATTCCAGTTTCGCTGTGGATGTCGTGTATTTTCATTTGACCATGATTTCAACTGACAGTCTGCAATGATTCGTCCACAATTCCTTTTGCTAGAAATCATCTTTCATTTGGGGAATTGCGAATCAGTAACCAAAATCTTATGTCAATAACCTAGCTAATCGATTAATAAATGACGCTAAATTTGAATCGTTTGACGCTCAGTCAAGTAGATTTGAGTAGCTTTTACTTATAAGTTGTGTAAATGGAATTATCCTAGTATTGCTCTACCCTGAAAACTAGACCTAACAACAAATAACTGTAATATACTTAGTTGTTTCAAATGATAATAAGCAACTTAGAGATTATAGAACATTGGCCAGGAAATATTTGGCCAATAAAATTAAAATATCTACTAGATAATATTTAGAAATCATCAGAAGCTCCTTGGAGAATTCGCAAAAGAAAAATTTTCCTCAATTAGCTAAAAACTTTCTCGTCGCCAAATTTCTAATTTAAAACTATTCGAACAAACAGTGAAAAAACTCTTAAAGCAAAATCCCTTTAGTTGGAATAACAATGTAGTTACAGTAATTTTGTTCGGCAAAGCGTAATTATAGAAAAGACTTTAGGCGAAATCCCCAGGTATTAATTAATTACGAAACCAAATTCTGCAAATAACTTAATACGAAGTTATTACAGGAGAATACAATAATTACTCCCATCTAATTAGAACGAATAAATGAAAAGGGACAAAAATCACTGCTGCCCTCTTAAAAGGGGTATACTTACACTCGTCAGTATTAATGTTAGCAAAAATCGATTGGAAAATAAGGATGCTTGAATGTACAATCAAAACAGAAAATATTCGCAATTCTGCTTTGATCTTGTGTCCTGCGACTGCTGCCAAAAACGTACAAACTAAGCCAGGTGTCGTGATGGTCAACATAGTGAAAGACGAAAAGTATTTCTGCATATCGGTTCTGTCGTTTGCGTCTGTACTTTCGGAGCTGACGTTACGGAATTTGTACATCCAGTACTACAAATATTAAAAACAATGTATAACTGTGATTACTTGATTATTTAAAACTTACCTCGTTGGCAGTCATGAAAAAAGCAAAAGGTAATATTTGTACGAGCCCAAACAGAAATACTGTGATAAGGACAAACTTGCCTTTGTCTGGAGGAGCATTTGGATCTTCTATATACTTGTGTGGATTATCTAAACCTACGAGAAAAAGGTAATTTAGGTTTTGATCTATCTCGGAGTCTAAATTGATCAATAGCAAATGCGAGAGCTTATTGAAAAGCTTATTTGCTTAACTGCCAGAAATTCAGGGCGGTTCAAACACCTTCCCAGATGACACTGAATCGGAATCAGGTCATTACGATTTCTTGTTTGACGTTCATGAAAATCGGAGTGGGATATGAAGTCCGCGTCGTTCATCTCTACTTAGACAATGCACTCAAAAGCAAATACTGATGACTGATGAGAAAGTCATAATCCCTTTTTACCGAAAGCTAACCTGCAGTCATACCTATATCTCAATCCAGTAAAGCAATTTACAGTTTTACACTGAAGTCCGAAAACTCTAGTCGCCAAAGGTGCACTGCCCCAAGCAATAATGACATTAGTGAATGGAACAGCGCGTAGTAGGCAGTCTTGAGGGTCTGTTCCGACACACAGTTATACAGGTTACGAAGCAGAAATACATGGTACTCAGCCTACCTGACCCCCTCCTAACCTGGACCTACTTCCATCTCAACAATAGATTCCCAGGAATTTCCCCTCAGTTGAATTGGGACTGTTATTAGTATCCCTCAGGCAAAATCATTCTCTGGGTCTTGTTGCGATTCAGCATAAGTCTGTTGGCATCAAACCAATCTTCAGCCCTCGGCTTTGCCACCACAGCCCCCTCATCAGTATCCCTCAATCTGCCGCCCCTTAGGAAAATGGTGGTGTCATCAGCAAAAAGGGTGCATCTGATCGCCCCCTCGGTGGTTCGTAAATCATTCATGAAAATGAGAAAAAGGGCCCAAAACAGAACCCTTTAGCACTCCCACATCAATCTTTTTTTCCGCTGATGACGCTGAGCCGACCCTCACAATCTGGTTACGACCGGAAAGATAAGATTCAACAATAGAAATAGATCAAATTAACAATCCGTCCATAATATGCCAAGCATGCTCAGTCCTTGTAAAGAAGTGTGGGTCAAAGCCTGTGAAAGAGTGGCACAGTTTGGCAAGGGCGCCACCGAATTTTGAAAAATTCATATGATCCCAATGTATTTTCTATGGGAAAAAATAAAAAATTTCGGCAGGAGACTTTCGGCAGACTCTATCCGTAGTACCAAGCGAGCTGATGAAGTGAAGCCATGTTTAAAGTCTTGATATTTATGGCCAGAAATTCTGAAGCTAGCTTCAAAAAAGAATCATGTGCAGTGCCGTACACACATGATATAAGTGAAACTTCTATCGCTTTGTATTGAACTATACGCCGCTCAAAGGCATCGCAGTTGTACTGCGCGTATGCGCGACAGCCTCTCTATTCTCTTCCATTGCTTGCTATTCACTGAATACCTGGCTTTCTCTCTTCCTTTTACAATGCTTCTAAACTATTCTTCCTTCGAGTAACTGAGACTTTAGACTTAGCGCACGAGTAGGGGTGAAAAATGAAGCACCACACGAAAGGGAGACGCGGATAGCCGAGACTATGTATTAGCTATAGCTATAGCTATTTTAACCCCTTTTGTTAATTAATTAACAAGAGGTCCATAAGATGCTCAGTTTGCTCAGCGATTAATTATTAGGGGTGAGTCAATAGTTTAATAAAAGTACAGATTGGCAAGGGCGCCACTGGATTTTAAAAAAAAATCATTAAATTTCATAAAATATTGGGGTGGGAAAATTCAGAAACACACCTGAAAAAAAAAATCAGCAGGCGGTAATTGGCAATTCTGAAAAGGAAATAAATATGGCATATAACTCAACCAAATCTTGACACAGGTAAACCAATTAAAATTGCCGGTAAAACACTTTAACTAAAATCAATAAATAGAGGTTAACTCTCGATCAGTTTCATCAAATTCATCAAAACAAAAAAGATAATACTTGCCATATAAATTCATCAACAGTTGCTGGCCATACCATTATCATGAAGGGAAAATATAAAGATTTAAGTTTCTAGGAAATTAAATTGATAAATATGGTCAGCTTTTGTACTCGTATAAAATCGAAAGTTGGGTAAAATAACAGTTCAATGGTCAGGAGATATAATAGAAATCCTCAAATATATAAGTTATAGGACCCAGGGTAAAAAATGGATCAATTTTCTACGATGTAGGTTCTTACTTAATAACTTTAAATTTAGAGCATGTTGTCCAACCTTGACTTCTGTTCAGATTTCTGATTGACTATTATTGATAAAATAGAAGTCGGTACGTTATTTAAATATGGCGGTACTAAAAATAGAGCAGAGATAAACCCATAATAAATTAAATAAATCAAAAATCAGAAATAATTATCCAAAGTTCACTCCGGTGTCAAGAAAGTGAAAATGAAATTTTAAATATCCAAAGGTAATGTCAGTAAAAACTTAATCAATTATGGTACCTAATTGATTATAGAGTAGATTTCATAAAAAAAGGTAATGAAAGTTACAAATAAAACTCCATACAAGCCTCCATTCCCGCCTGGAATCAAGGCTAGAAGTTCAGTTTTCTTCGTGAAATGTGGGGGTACACGTATCGACTCGTGAGGGACTTGATTCCTCTAGGAATCCCTTCAAAAGCTCTATGTCATGCTCCACAAAAATGATGTTCTTTCAAAAATGTGGCCTTTTAGAAATGGATTTGTTGAGAGAAACGGCTCCTCGGAAAAACTGCACCTCGAAAAAAAACGGCTCCTCGGTAAATCCTAAATAATAGAGGCATTCCATGAACGACCATTACTTGAAAAAACTTGAAAGGTCTTACCACGAGGGGGTTCAAAACTCAAACTCAAATAAAACGATAATCACGACACTTTTTATTCAAATTTCTCGGTTATCAATGGATTCTTGTCTTACGCAACTTTATTTCGTAAAAATAATGCCTGATGGCCGATAAGGTACTCTTTCCATGAGAACGGTAATCGATATTTATATTTCACTCAGGAAAATGGCTGCCCAAGCCCCCCCTCCCCTCGCCACAGTCGACCTTTCAGGGCAACGGCAAGATTAAAAAGGAATGAAGAAAAAACAAGCTGAACAGACACAGTTTCCTCTTGAAAATAGCCAGCGAACAGTAGCATTTCACATGCTACACTATAGCTCTCTTTTTCCTGCTCTCTACGTTATGTCTCTAGTTTGTCTTGCAAATAAGGCCTGTGTGCTTCTGCCTCTCTCTCTCTCCTCTCTACATTATATTTGTTTCTAATCGTGTAACGAAATGGGCCTAAACGTGTGGCGCCTAAGAAGTTTCGCTTCAAATCTATAAGAGTCTATTTAAGAGGTGACACTTATGCGGAACATTTTTCAGGAATGCAACTGAATATAGGAGACGCAGATCATCCCATACTTGATGGTAAAGTCACTATCCCGAAAGTCTGGCTGTAGTGAATGCATCTCTTGAAAAAACTTACTGGCAAATTATACCCTAACATCGAGAATATTAGGATGAACCCCACACGAGCGTACTATTCTAACCCCAAAGAATGACAGAGCAGCTGCTATAAATGATCTCATACTAAAGTCTTTCAAAGGAGATGAAGTGCAGTTTAAGTCAGTTGACTCAGTAGTATTGCAAACAGATAATGCAGTAAATTATCCTGTAGAGTTTCCTAATTACTCTCAACCCAGCTGGTCTTTCCTCGCACAATCTTATTCTCGAAATTGGCGCACCAGTTATGTTATTAGGAAATCTGAATCCTCCAAAGTTATGCAATAACACAAGACTGCAGATAATGGTTTTTCATCGAAACATTGTAACATGCTAAATGTTACTATTTTTCTTTTTCACATATAAACTAGCTCTGATCGACTGATTACCGAAAAAATTTAAATAAAAAGTCTCGTGATAACCGTTTCATTTGAGTTTGAATTTCGAATCCCCTCGTGGTAAGTCCTTTTTGATTTTATTTTTGAAGTAAAGGTTGTTCATGGAATGTCTCTATTACTTAGGGTTTTACCGTGGAGCTGTTTTTTTTTTACTGGGGAGTTGTTTTTTCCGAGGAGCTGTTTTTCTCAAGAAATCTATTTGCAAGAAGCCCTAAAGGTCACCGTTTTCGTGCAGCGTTGGCATAGAGCTCTTGACTCCCTCACTTGTCGATACCTATACCTTCATATTTGATGAAAAAAACTGAACCTATAGCCTTGATTTCAGGCTAGAATCTGCAACTTCCATGTGGTATTAGGGTACTTGCATGGAAAATTGATTATTGTTTATTGCAAACTGTAGGAAATCGAAAAAAAATCTTTACTTTTTTTTTTATTTCGCCCAAATATGATTATTCCGGAAGTTATTCAAATATTAAGTTTTGTATACATAGATATACTGAGCATGTGCAACGTCACTTATTTATTAGATAAGTGACGTCATAGGCAGATTTCATAGTGTTGTATCTCCGTCAATTTTTGACTAAGAAGCAAAAGAAAAAACACGTGTTGACTTATTTTTCATGGGCTATCGAAATCAGCAATAAAAAAAATTGATGCAAGGAGCCTTTTCTCTCGTCCAACGACCAAAAATGGATGGCTACCGACTACCGTACTCTACCTTTTTTTGAAATTGAGTTTCAATTATAACTTTTATTACCTTTTCATGGAATCTATTTTAAGAACAATTACCATAATTGATTGAACTTTAACTGAAATAACCTTTAAATATTTTAAATTTCAATTTCATTTATTATTCTTGACACCGAAGTGAAATTCAAATAATCATTTTTGATTTTTGATTTACCGTATTTATTATAGATTTATCTTTACTTAACTTTTGGTAGAGCAATTTAAAAAACAGAAATGTATCTTATTAATCATAATTATTAATCTGAACTGAGGTAGGTTGGACAATATGTTCTAAATTTGAGATTATTGGGTAAGTACCTATAACGCCAAAAATTGATCAATTTTTCATCTGGGTTATACTACTTATAAGCTTGAGGATTTCGGTTATATCTCCTTTATACCTTCAACGTTAAACTTCTGATTCCATACGGTTTAAATTTGATTTTACTGATTTTATTTTCTGGCAGTAGCTGACTATAGTTATCCATATAATATTATAATTTTCAATCATTCATTTTTTTGTTTTAAGTTAGTTTTCTGGAAACTTAAATCCATTATATTTTCATTTCATGATAATGATATGGCCAGCGACTGGTAATTAATTTATATGGCAACTATATATATATTGAGGTACATTGTAGTATTATTATTATTTTTTTTGAGCTTGATGAATCTGATTGTGAAAGTTAACCTCTTTTTATTGATTTGATTTAAAGTGTTTTACCAGCAATACTTGATTTTATACTTTAAAATTATTCAGTACTTGATTTTTGATCACACTGTGAAAATATGTACTAATTTAATTTACTTGATTGTTTTATTGCTTTACCTATGTCAAGATTTGGTTGAGTTATATGCCGTATTTATTTCCTTTTAAGAATTACCAATAAATGTTTGCTGATTTTTTTTTGAGTTTTTATTTTTTTGAAATTCAGTGGCGCCCATTCTGTACTTATTTAACTATCAACCCACTCCTAATAAATATTCGCTGAACATATTATGGGTCTCCTGTTAATTAATTAACAAAATGGGTTACAACATTATCGAGGCTACTATACCCACTGGATGTGCTCAAGGGGAAACAACTGTATAATACATACTTCGATACCCTCCGAGTACCCATTTGAGTTCAAAAAATTGCATTCATTGAAACTGGCCGGAATAGATTTAAGACGGGACTGTTTCTCATATGGACAGTTCTATGTGACCTGTTCCAGAGTGAGTTTTGCCAGTAGTCCGGATAATCCTTGCTCCAAGAGGCATTACCGTGAATGTTGTGTACAAAGAGGATCTTCATTAACACATGAAATATGAGATGAAAATAAATAGGGTACTTAATCATATTATTTTTAAAATACTACATGTACCTACTTATTAACTAAGATAAATAAAATAAATAAATGCGATTAAAATTAACAATGCAACAATTGTCATACGTAACAATTTTAGAACTTAAAAAATTTATTATCAATGCGAGCGAAGCTGCGGGTGAAAGCTAGTATCGTTCTAGTTTTTCAATAAACTAAGTTCACCTTGTGTTGGAGGAAATTGTTAAGCAGTATGAAAAATGACTTACCGAAACCTTTTTTATGGCTCGCCTCAAATTCCTTGATACTTTGTATACTTTTCAAGCTAAATCTTTGGAAACGGGTTTTAACATTCTCTTGAATTGAACGGCGCACTCCAGCTAAAATAAAATAAATATCAAAAGCTCGCACCAAAAAGTCTAATGGAAGACAAATATTATCTATAGCTATGTATAATTCCATGTTATTATTTGAATAAGCAAATTCCAAAATATTGACGATGTTGCTATTATAATCCTTACCTAAATAGTCCGCATCGGGTATCGGATAGGGCACACTATGTTCATGATCCAGATCCATAATTGATTTTCCACCGAAAACGACCCAACAATGACTATATAAAATTATTAAACTCAAGCATTTAAATTATGGTTGCCAGCTACCTGATAACGCACTTGAAAGTAAATTATTCAATGTAAGATTAAAATAAATTTTTCCCAAGATGTTTTTTGTTATCGCCTTTCGTAACCTATTTCAAGGTACGTCACCAGAAAATAATAGCAGCTTCTCAAAACATAACGAGCTAGTTGATGAATTTTAAGGCAATTTTTACTTTTGAATGAGTGCGAAACGTGACACTTGAATTATCGATATCAACCTAAATAATTGTAAAAGAGCCGAGAGAAGTGAAAATCCCAACCCTAGCCGAGGATGTTGAGATTCCACAGCGGGAAAGTAATTTTCATAGGCATGAATATACGATTAGCTGCTACTATTTTCAGTTGTTATAAATAAAGTTGAATTTCCGACTGCTCGTTTCCCATCTTGTGACTACCTCTTGGGTTGCCAACCTATATTTCTCTAGTATCTTTGTCCATCTATCATCTCGCAGCCGGAAAGTCCGATTAAAAAATGTGGTGTATTTTTGGTTCAACTTATGTGCTTATTTGCCCTGTCAACTTTGATTCTGTGACACAGCTACTTTTATGAAATGACTTCTTTGTTTTTAACCCTATAAGAATCAACTTCATGCGTCCTGGATTGGGGTTTGGCAAGTTAACACTAAATGTAGGTTATCACGCGACTACATATTATCCAGGAAGCTGATAAAAAGATGTTGAAAGAATGTGCTACCTTGTCACACTTCTCCTTTCACTCTAAATTTTCCTGACTAGTGGAGTCTCACAGTCCTAGTTAGGCTGATCTCATTTTCTGTTTCGCCATAATATTACATTCGCAAAGCCAAGATAGCTCAGGTATGAGCAGTATAATTTGATAACTTTTTTATCCCAGTACAGTGTTTTGGAGTGATCCTCCAGTGGAAGAGTAAAGTTTTGGAAGACATGGTAGTTCCTTAGCGTACCCCGCCCATAGCAGTTTGTGGCAAGATAGTTATTTTGTCATTTGAATCACCATAAAGGGAAACAGTTCTGATACCAAATTCATATGCAAATTCTATTTGATTCATGCATGTTTTCACATACCTACGTCAAAAGTATTGAATAGTATAAACAATTAAATAAAGATTAAACTCATTATCATTAGACATTGTTATTGAAATTATCCTGAGTGATAAACTGCTTGTACTTTGATTGCACTTGACGCTAAATCTAGCTATTTTTGTGACACAATGATTCGTGATTAGCATGCAGATCTAAATGTTATGTTAGTTAACTTTAATACTACCTGCCAGGTAAGGGAGCTTGGTTGATGACAGAAAATGTTATCAGCTTTGATTTGAAGGGTGTCTTTCTGATTATTATTGTCACTTATCGAAATAAAGCTTCAAGAGTTTTATGAAGTTTACTTGAAGAGCCCTACGCAAGAATGTAATATACAACAAATCATGCCTTTGCTGACTATAAATTTTGAAAAGTTTTTGATTTTAGAACGTAGTGTGCACAAGTCAATAATCTAGAGACAACCAATAAACTGTTAATTGGAATAGTTTTTCACAATTCAGATTTATGAAAACCAATCTGTAGTTGAAGCCCGCATCTGTGGCTATATTTATGTTATGTCATTTTTAATGTCTTTTGTCAAAAGTTAACACAGTTGTTGTGTCAAGAAAAAGCGCGAAAGCAGAAAGTGTGTTGCTATAGTTATTTACATTACAAGTGCGTTTATGGACATGATTACAATAACAAGTGTAACGACGACGAGGTCGTAGACCGAGTCGTTCTAATCTAAAAAGTTTTGTAGTCATGTTTAAATGCACGTGTGATGTACAACGTTTTATCTACAAAGCGAAAAATAAGAAATAATGTTTTTCCAATTTTCCTATATAAGTAGTTGTCTACTTTTATTTTACCTTTACAGGTTTAACCAGAGGGTTTAACTGTGACATTTGTCAAATCATAAAAACGAGTTGTGTTATAGATTCATAACCTAATCCATAACATCACCATAGTTTGACCAAATCCAAGCGGCAGTACCTAATGACATAACTGGTTATTTCCATTATAATCTATCAAATATCCTCTGTGCATGCGCACTGGTTCTGGTGAGGCGTTTTAACCAATAGGAAGGCTGAATTACCAGCTGGTGTTTGTTTACAAATTCGGTAATTTAATGTCATTGCTGCCGCTTGGATTTGGTTCAACTAACTCATAATCTAGTTCATGACACCACTAGTTGCGTTATGAGTCTTATGAAATAACTCAAATACTAGAAAAATTGTTATGTCAATACGTCATAACAGAACGCTTGTAGATAAAAATTTAAATTTTAACTCAGACTCATCCGATTTTCTAATATTCAAAACACATACTTCCTTTTCAATTTTAGTTTACTCTATTTTAATTTATTATCATACTTGTGTGATAAAAAATTAAAATAATAACAATAATAATAACTCAAATTATTTATAATAGAAATACGGCAACCAAACAAGATCGGCCAGGTGCTCTGTCAAGTCAGTGCTACTAGTTAAAAAAAAGAACTCTGTCCAACGAACCTACGGAGTATGACAGAGTCAGAATGGCGGTCAGGTTTACACTGAAAACTGATTTCTGCCATTTAGGCTCAGGTATACGATATTGGTTCAAATCAGAGTTCAGCTAAACTCGACTGGTACTTGAACTTCCCCATTTGAAATGCATTGCTGACAAAATTGATAGAATTTGATTATTAGCTGACAGCAATAAATTTTAAATGGGGAAATTCAAGTACCAGTCGAGTTTAGCTGAACTCTGATTTGAACGCAAAAATTATCCCTTAAGGTCTGTTCCCACAGGAGTCTCTGACAGTTTGCAAACTGTCAGTAAGCATACATGTTTTCAATGCTGTCGTTACAAGATAAATCTGTAACTCAGCTGAGCGATTGTTTCTGACAGGTTGCAAACTGTCAGAGACTCCTGTGGGAACAGACCTTTAAAATATTTGAATAATGAATTTGAATAAATAAACCCCAATAGGCCTAGGTACAGTAAGACACCCTTAAGGAATTCGGCCAGCGCAACAAAGTGCTCGCGGCTACTCAGTGGTGTGGGAGTAGGTTCAATATTGAAAGTTAGCTTTATAGGGAGCCACTGGTTTACAAAATAAAATCTGCGGACTTAACCAGAAAGTCCTTGATCTCCAAAATTCCTATAAAGATGTACCTACCCGATGTACTTACCTAAAACAACTTTCCCTTAGTTTGGTTGAGGTAAGTAGGGGTTAAATAAGAGTCAAATATAAAAACAATGAGTATAAAACTATTTAATATGTTCTGGAGGGGGGTATGTTTAGATTTGCAATTGCATTCCAGAGGCCAATAGAAGGCAATATATAAAATACCACAGTATATATTATTATTAAATGTAAATGTCAAAATTACTAAAAGGTAGCAAGGACCAATTTGGTCTTATAAGATACTCTAATTAATTTAAGATTTACCAATAAATGTTTGACCACTTTACCCCAATGAGAGTGAAAGAGAACAATTAAGTAATAAAAAGATTAATGATATGTATCAATTAAAACCTGTGCACGCTCATACCATGGTATATCGGCGCGGGGTTTGTACAAAAATGTCACCTTAAATATGGTAAATTAATAATCATTGGTACAGTACACCCATTATAATAATGAAGGCGGTAAAATAAACGTGGAAATGTATCAAGATAAATAAAAGAAATAGGTACTCTTGATAATAATTTTTAAAAAATAATTGAGAAATGTCAATAAATCAACGGGTACATCACCCCCTTGTGGTCCTACCTGCAGTCTAAACAGCCATTTACATTACTGTCTCATGACAGCCTCACAGCCTGGATAACAGATCCATCAACTTCTTTTGACTCCCCTTCTTGAATATGGTAACTTTCGGTTCCAAGTCCAGTGTTGTGTGTACTCTGACACCCCAACTTCGAGACTAGCAACCCATCGAAAAGGAAGAACCCAATGGTAAAGTAAAATCTAAAAAACCCTGGTTTCAATTCGGGCTTCTAGTTGAACAAAACGCGCTCTTTGCTCACATGACAAGCCAACAAAATGGCGTAGATTTTCGTCTCCAGAAAATTCTGAGTGGTTGGCTTACAAATACGGGGACCAAATCCAAGTTTTCACCCCAAAACCAATTAAACCAGCAACCACTTGAGTTCCCAACGCCTCTAAAATCCCACAAATGGCGGATGTTCTAAGAAACGCAGCCAAGAGGACTGCTGATAAAATCTGCCAAACAACTGGCTGTTTGTTTCGTTCTCCTGGTCAAGACCGGAAATCAAGCACCAGAGGGCATCTTGGAAAAAATAGAATTCTCTGAAATTTCTTATATGAGCCTACCTGGTAAATAGCTAAAATAGGGTCGTTCTCTTTAAATCCGCACGTTGAGCAAACAACAAGTTGTTATCTAATTTTCTCCCCTAACACTAATTAATTAATTAATAATCATCATCTACCCGGTTTTCAGTCTAAAAACTTCACTTGTTTAGTGAAAGTAACGTAGTAGCCACGCTCTAGCAACAAAGGTCAAGAAACCTCGGCAACAGCGCTGCCTGAAAGTGTCCCATAACCACACTTATTCGGGGAGAATAAATAACCGGGAAAATGTAAATATTAGTGCAAATAAGGGTGAAAAAGCGATTTGAAGGGTGTGAAAGTGATTTGTGGAGTTGCAGAATTTTTAATAATGGAAAATACGAGACTCGTAAGTGTTGCCAATTGATATTTATTTGGAAGTAAACAAACCTTTTCATCAACAGTTAGGGCTTTTTAGACAACTTTCGTAAGCTAAATAAAATAGATTTCGATCCTATTAGTAGGGCTTTATTATCCTAAAACTACCCTGTCATCTGAATAGAAAGAATTAATTCAGTATTAGCCCGAAAAATATACCTTTGTGCAACACCCACATATTGTTTCGCATTCAATCAAAAACGCAGAAAACTAGTAAAATCCAATGAGAAACCTATCAATAACCGAAAAATATTAATCCTCAAGTATAAAGCTTTATAAATACCCTCACAAATACTGAGGCAAAAATTGTACGTAGCACACTTATGTCAGATAGGCTATGACGGGTCTGCCCACGGTCTGCCAGAAAAGTAGAACTAAATAAAGGGGCCCATAAGTAGTCACAGACTTAATTTAGTTTTATGGTTTCGTCTAATGTATCCGTGGAGCCCTAAATGAAGTGTGTGTTCAGTTCACAAAGTAGTTTTGCTTCCAACCTAAGCAAGTGAATATATTGGCATTAAAACCAATTTTAACATAAACAAGGCAACATTATTAAGAATCAGAGATCTACATAAGGGTTTCTTCCCTGTACAAAGGGAGATTCCTTCAATTCTCATAAACAATACCTTTCAAATTAAAATTACAAAGAGTTCTCAATAAAAAAAAACAAGCCAAAAGGAGTCTTTTTTCTTGGGGTTTGATGACTCAAGGGTGACTCTCCATCAACAATAAAATTTCTTAAAACAAATGGAAAAAAAAATTAATAAATAAACAATCTAGGTTCTTCAAAAATATATTGTACTTGTACAAAACGAGTATTTTCTATATCGATTGATCTTATCACAGTGTCGTATACCTAATTATATAATAATTAATATTTTTCTCAGCCACAGGCTGAGTTAAAAGAAAATAACAAAAATTGAGAGTGACAAAGTTACCAACAACAATCATTTTTACTTAGAAAATACGTTTCTAGATTCACCTCAAACTTGCAACAATAATAATAATTATTATTGTGCCTATCGCATCGCTTGATTCAAGGAAAGCAAATATTTGTGTCGCATTAGCTTTTCCAAATAAATATAGAGTTGATCATTAGAGCACACTGACAGCTGCAACGCCAAGAGGAGACGTTAGAGTCGCATATCCTCCAAAACAAAACATGGATATCATCATGGCTAGCTCTATACGATCAGGCGGCACCGCTCTAGGACAAAAAAAAAAACCAAAATACAAAAAAATACAATACAATATTCCAGTAATAATTATTATAATCTTACTTCATAATCTTGATGCTAGTCAAATTCATCAAAAATCCATCGGAGAAAAACTTCAATCCAATCAGAAGTGCATATTCCCAGTCGTGGGTCAACAGCACCGGCAAATGGTGTCTAGGTTTCGCGTTTGTGAAGAAGAAAAGGATTCCTATTGTTCCAGCTCTTAATATTGACAGTAAATAGATAACTAACACTGGCAGATCCTAATGTTTCAATAATACTTGATTAATTATGGTAACTACAAATTATATTTGAATGAGCCACTTGACATGATTTTTCCAGTTCCCATCAACTAAGGAATGTCGGCAAGATAAATTTGATACTATTAAGTTGTCAACAGCACCCCGCTATTTCATTGGTAGCCTATCTTTTGCTATGGATTATTTCCCAGAAATAAAAATAACCACGCTGAAAATTGAAAAAATAACTCCATAAATCTTTAGAGAATCGATAAAAGAATGTTTGTGCTAAATTTGAGCCAATTCTGATGTGACGTTTGTTTAGCACATTCAAAGCGCCTTAACGAGTAAATTGGCCTGCTGAGAAACGGAATCGAGGATACGTGTGGGCTCTTCTACTAACTGGGTTAGGCCGTGTGAAATGGCAAATCAATCCTTCCAGCATGGGTTGTTTTGTTCGAGAACTTAAGCCACCTTGAGTTATGAAGTTTGAAATCTCCCAAGAATATAAAGTCGGAGTTCGGATATAGGTCTCCTAAAATCAAGTGAATGAGAAAAGAACCCAGGTCGCACCCCTTCTTCCGATATTTCTCGTCCTAGGTAACTTATCGTAGTTTGGAAGAACTTGCATTTTTTTAGTTTAAGGGTCAAGTTTCCCCGTCTTAGCTTTTTTTAACGGTTTTTGAGGAAATTAATATATCATCGCTATACCGAAATGCTACCGAATTTTTCAACTTGCCAAGTACAATTTTTGGAACACTGCTGGTGAATTACAAAGCCAAAATGGCATTCTCAAAAATTCGTAATGAGAATCGGGTGTTATGAGGGCCTTTTTTGCAATGGATCCATTATCTATGGACAATTGATAAAATCCTGATGCCAAGTCTAGTGCCGTAAAATATTTGTTGTTTCCTAGTTTATCTATTGGCTCGTCAATGACTGGCAATGGATACTTCATTTTAATAGTGACTGCATTCACTTACTTAAGCCACTCTGAGTTATGAAAATTGAAATCTCCCAAGAATAGAGAGTCGGAGTTCAGATATAGGTCTCCTAAAATCAAGTGAATGAGAAAAGAACCCAGGTCGCACCCCTTCTTCCGATATTTCTCGTCCTAGGTATTTTATCTTAGTTTGGAAGAACTTGCATTTTTTTAGTTTAAGGGTCAAGTTTCCCCATCTTAGCATTTTCCATTGGTTTTTGAGGAAATTAATATATCATCGCTATATCGAAATGCTACCGAATTTTTCAACTTGCCAAGTACAATTTTTGGAACACTGCTGGTGAATTACAAAGCCAAAATGGCATTCTCAAAAATTCGTAATGAGAATCGGGTGTTAGGAGGGCCCTTTTTGCAATGGATCCTTTATCTACCGGCACTTGTTAAAATCCTGATGCCAAGTGTAGTGCCGTAAAATATTTGTTGTTTCCTAGTTTATCTATTGGCTCGTCAATGACTGGCAACGGATACTTCATTTTAATAGTGACTGCATTCACTTACTTTAGCCACTCTGAGTTATGAAAATTGAAATCTTCCAAGAATATAAAGTTGGAGTTCGGATATAGGTCTCCTAGAATCAAGTGAATGAGAAAAGAACCCAGGTCGCACCCCTTCTTCCGATATTTCTCGTCCTAGGTAACTTATCGTAGTTTGGAAGAACTTGCATTTTTTTAGTTTAAGGGTCAAGTTTCCTCGTCTCAGCATTTTTCAATGGTTTTTGAGGAAATTAAAATATCATCGCTATACCGAAATGCTACCGAATTTTCCAACTTGCCAAGTACAATTTTTGGTACACTGCTGGTGAATTACAAAACCAAAATGGGATTCTCAAAAATTCGTAATGAGAATCGGGTGTTATGAGGGCCCTTTTTGCAATGGATCCTTCATCTACGGGCACTTGATGAAATCCTGATGCCAAGCCTGATGCCAAGACCCTCGCGTACGACCATACAAAAAAAATTTAAATTACCACTAAAGTTCTAGAAAACCCACCACAATGAATATTTGTCAAAATTGTCTTGCCGTCATCGATTAGTCGGTTACTATCAGTGGCTCACCTATATGATTTACTTACAAGGTCAAACCCGTTGAATATGGCTCGTCCCAATAAGCTGCATAAGGCAGGTATTAGGAAAGTGCAAACCGTTACGAAATAAGTATCTGCAAAAAAATAAAAACTATTATAAAGAACTAAGCCAAACCAATTTAAACTCACTTCCCCAAACGCTGTCAGTACCATAATACTCGGATACTACTAGAGCGGTTATTGAACCCACTGGTATAAGCAAATCAATAAGTGTCGGAAACAACAAAGGCCATATTTTCATTGTCACATCTTTAATGTCACCGTAGTTTTTCATTTGTTGTTTGGTGTCGTCTTTGGCACTACGTGTGTGATACCTGGAGATGTAGTTAAATTTAAATGAAAGGTTTCCAAAATTCTGATGCTTCTTTACCTGAAAAATTCAGTTTTCGTAGCACAAAATAACACGATAGTCATCCCTATCATCAAACAACTGCCTGTGATGAAGTACAATAAAGCCGAGCCTGTGGCTGATGGAGAAATGAAGATCGTGAGTAAACGTAGCGCGGCGGAAAATACATGTGCTACACCTTCTCCTAATAGTTGAGCTTTCATGTAATTGGGCGGAAGCTTAGAGATTAGACCCATTGACCCAGAGCTGCCAAATGACAATGCACCTGAAACAAGTTTTATGAATAAAATAGTTTTTGAATATAGGGGGTTACTTACAGGACATTATCAGTGCGCTTCCTAAAGATATTCCGAAAAAAATCCCTTGCCCTATAAGAAAAAAATTATTGTTCATAATAGATCTCTACTTAGGCAATATTTTAAACTATATTATTTTATGAGCTAGGTCAGGAATTCAACGATACCACAACAAAACTCTTACAGTAATTTTGAATCATACACCAAGTCAATTACTTTCTTCAGGCTCCTGTATGATCCATTCAACGGTCTTTGGAATTTTGGGGCTAGTCTGTTCAGATATTGTCTATAGGAAACCCAAGTAAATTAGAGGATGTGGATAATCCTGACTGGGCACCAAGTTCTTGCAAATGTTGGTTCTGTATAATGAAAATGTCTTATCGTATTTCACTTAACAGATCAACCACTTACAAATACACCTCAAAGCACATAAAACTGTAAAACTCCAAACAAACAGCAGGCAACACATGACTACAAAATGAAGTTTGGCCCATGTTTGGCCGCCACGCTATCTTGAGTGTCACGTGGTTTGGATTGCCTGATTATGAATTTCAACCAAACTTCTTTCAGCTCGTTACAGTGCCGAAGCTATCGTAGGCCGCACATGGAGACATACTTGACATATAGGTCCAAATACACCCAAATAACTCATATACGACGTCATCTCAATTTTTTTTAAATGAAAACAATACCTTCCAGCTAGGAAGGTAAAAATAGCACTGACACTTTCAGTTCATTTCAATATATAGTCTACTACTTTACATAATGGAATACCTAGAAGCTGCCTTTCTTAGATACCTACATAGGCATTTCTTAGATTTTTCTATTTTGCCTCTTAAAAGAGGTATACTTACACTCGTCAGTATTAATGTTAGCGAAAATCGATTGAAAAATAAAGATGGCTGAATGTATAGACAAAACAGAAAATATTCGCGTTTCTGGTTTGATCTTGTGTCCTACAAGTGCTGCCAAAAATGTACAAACCAAGCCAGGTGTCGTGATGATTAAAAAAGTCAAAGACGAAAAGTATTTCTGCATAGTGGTTCTATCATTTGCATCTGTACTTTCGGAGCTGACGTTACGGAATTTGTACATCCAGTACTACAAATATCAATAACAATGTAGTAGTGTGATTATTTGATTATTTGAAACTTACCTCGTTGGCAGTCATGAAAAAGGCAAAGGGTAATACGTGTACGAGTCCAAATAGGAATATTGTGACAAGAACAAACTTGCCTTTATCTGGAGGAGCATTTGGATCTTTTATATACTTGTGTGGATTATCTAAGCCTACGAGAAAAAGGTATTTTGAGTTTTGCTCTATCTAAAGTCTAAATATGCGACAGCCTATTAAAAAGCTTGTCTGATTCAACTTTGTAATTGAATAGATGCGGACTTTCTAATTTACTATTGCATTGATCTTTGTATCGTTTCTGATTCTTTAATGAATGCAGGTGATATAAACACAATAGATACCAAGGAACAAATTATTCAATACATTTATGTTTTACGTAATGTGGGTTGATTTTCCTCGCTTTTCCATCCACAGACGCGTTTCGATCTATCAGATCTCTTCAAAGAGGCTGGGCAAGCAAAAAAAAAACAACCAATTTAGTGCCTGTAGGCAAACTATAAATAATATGATGGGAGACTTTTGGTAGTGGCGCCATCTAAGACTTGAATGCAGCACTAAACAAGTTTTTCCTGTAAAGACAATGTGAAAATGTTTTCAATCTGTTTTCCCTATTTGGTTATCCCAATAAACTGATTTTTGTTCGGCCTATTGACGCTCAGTGCTAATACAGCAAAATGTTGTCAAGTGCTGCATAAAAGTAAAAGATGGCGCCACGACCAAACGTCTCTCATTGTGTTTACGTACCTAATCTAAAAATTCGAAAGATATAAAACAGTTTGAAAGTATTTGCGATCTGGTAGATACGCAGCTGTCGTTACGTTTTTTGCTATCAAAATATATATGCCAAGCATGCTCAGTCTTTGTAAATAAGTGTGGATTAAAGACTATTAAAGAGTGTAACAGTTTAGCAAGGGCGCTGAAAATTAGTTCAAAAGCATTGAAATCTTAAATGAATTTAACTAACAACTGTTTCCAAGAGAATCAACCAACAATTATTTCAAGCTAAAAAATGCAAATAATTCAATGGACCAAGTTCACCTAGTGTTGAAGGAAATTGTTAAGCAGTATGAAAAATGACTTACCAAAACTCTTTTCATGACTCGCCTCAAATTCCTTGTCATTTTGTAGACTTTTCACGCTAATTCTAAGGAAACGGGTTTTGATATTCTCTTGAATTGAACGGCGCGCTCCAGCTAAAAGAAAATAGATATCAAAAGCTCATGCCTAAAAAGTCAAATGGAAGCCAAAACCAAAAAATCTATAACTATATTTAATTATTTGAATAAGCAAATTCCAAAATATTGATGATGTTGCTATTATAATCTTTACCTAAATAGTCCGAATCGGGTATCGGATAGGGCACACAATGTTCATGATCCAGATCCATAATTGATTTTTCCCCGAAAACGACCAAACAATCACTATAAAAAATTATTCAATTCTCTAGTAGGTATTTAAATGATGGCTGCCAGCTACCTGATAATAACGCACTTGAAAAGACATCAAGTAAATTATTCAATGTATCTTAGATTAGAATAAATGTTTTTGTTATCTCGTTTTGTCAGCTATTATGATTGTAGGTAAGCGAGTTGTGACAAGTGGAAAAGCTTACCTATAGTTTTGATCAAAGAGGGAAACTAATTTTTATAAGCATGTTTATACGATTGACTCATCATTTCCAGCGACAAATGAAGTTAAATTTCCGACTGTTTGTTTCTCATTATATGACCACCTCTTAGGTTCCTAGCCTATATTTGTCTAGATTTCTTGAATTGGCTCCACTCAACCATTATCTCTGTCCATCTATCGTCTCGCAGCCCGAATATCCGGTTTAAAAATGTGGTTTATCTTGTTCCATCTTGTTCTACAGCGGAAGTGACGTCACACTCGTTCTGGGGCCCGCGCCCGGTGTTTGAATACTTACCTTTATCAGGTAACGTTCGAACATTGATGTAGCCACTGATTATCAGGCATCCGCAGAGAAGGATGGAGTTTGTGGTTTTGGACGGTCAATGTTACTTTTCTACTGATTTTCAAGTTAAAGAATTGGCTTTTTATGATGGGAAACTGCCTAGAAGTTCGGTATTTGAACCAAAAATTCTACATCGTGACTTGAATGAAGCCTAGAAGAAAGAAGTCAACTATGTATCCCACAATATTTATGGTGTTCCTTACAATACAGGCTGTTTATGGAGAACTTAATCAAGTGCTTCAGGACAATTTAAAAGACATTGATACTGTTTAAGTTAAAGGCTTTCCTCTAACTATAATTAATTTAGAATTCTCAGTAGGTAAAGTACCCAAGCTGAATTATAAGCCTCACTGATTTTAAATATCATAGAATTAGTATTTGTTCATGTAGTGTTGAGAATGTATATGTATTGTATAATTATATTGTAAGTACCAAATAAACTTTTTTTGAAACAAATGGAGTTTATCTATTAATTCAACCAAATAAGCACAATCTTTCTCTAGGGTATGAGCTACACACTCGCTTAGAGAATTTAAAATATTTAGTAAATCTCTCTAAATTAAAAAAAGACTTGGACTTTTACCAAGAAAAACAGTTACTGTTTGATAATTTCGGAAATTTAAAAATGGTTTCGAAATGGGATGGAGTATTTTCATCAGCTTCCAGATTTGCAAATGGAACAGCAACATGCAATCGGAAAACTGTTCCAAAACCAGTGTATCAAGAATATAATATTGGAGACATTGTGCAAATTAATTATAATCCTGAGAAGAAAAAACGTACATTGTCTTACATCACAGGAATGACACTTCAATTCAATTTACCTACAATGAATTTGAAGAATTTTTACAGTTTCTCGATAATATAAATGATGGATGGAATGATACAAACTTCTATATTGGCGAATTCATTTACGTTAGCTATTGAAATCAGGAAGAAAGTAGAGGCTTGACTATGGTGGATAAGCGAACAATGAAAAACATTTATCGGAATGAAAATCGTCTTGATTCAACTCAAGAGCATAAATATAACTTGTAGGATATTTTTCTTAAATAAAAATAAAAATTTAAATTGGTCTATTTCTTTCCCTATAGCAAAACCCAATATTTTATAAATAAAAAAATTATCAGATACCTACTAGAAACGCATTTATTTTTCAAATAATTGTACAAAAAATACATTCACACTCTGAATCCTTATTTGTTGGTGGTCTTGTTGCGACGTTTTGTTGTTGCTATTTTCTCATTTTCATCAAATCTAGAATTAAAATAATTAGTTTCAATTGAATAGTTTATATTATAGTAAACTTACAATTCAACAATTTCGAAAATTGCCGTTGGATTTAGTCCCTGAATCTCTTTCATAGACTTGGAAACGAGTGCAAATTTCCCAGCCACGAAGTTGCGGTAGAAATGTGATACATTTTTCCAAGTCTACTTTTGCTCCCTCTCCAAATTTAGAGTTAACAATTGTCATACTTATAATGGGATACAGATGATTTGGGAACAGGTCCTTCAATTTCAAAAAGGGGTTTTCTTCAATACAAGCCGCCTGGTTTATTTGATCTAAATTCATGATTGTCTCTAAAAAAAATAAAACAACGTATTATTATCAGGGTTTTTAAGAATAATGAAAAAATTACTTACATAGTTTTTTAACACTAAACACAATTAACTATAAATGAGCCAACGCCCAACTTTGAAATTTTCGTAGAAAAATGTTATGAAACTGGAGCACTGAAAAAATGCTGTGTCACTTAAGGACGCTGGAATAACTAACTAGACTTTAAATGAATGAAGAACAACATGTATTATCGCCAGGAAATGTAGTTTTTTGTTATTGAGATAACAGGATTTCGAATAAATTAAGCAAGTTCGCAAAACTTGTTATCAGCGGCAGAAATTAAAATTATTTAAAAATAATATTTGGGGCTTACCAAAAAATGGGGCCCAAATTGGGGCCCCGCATTTCTATGGTTTGGGTCTCAGCGGCGTGAAACGAAATTTCGAATGATGATGTCGCATTGAAATAATTGGCAGGTAACGAGACATAAATTATTGTCTGATCGTGGTCAGATTTTAGTTTAGAAAATGGGGGCTCCCGAAAATTGGGGGGCCCAGTACGATGTATCTTGTTACAAGTCACGAGTTATGGGGTACCAAATTTCAGGTTTCAAGTTCTAGGTACGTGGTACAAATTTCAGGTTACCAGCATGAGATATGGGGTACCAAATTTCAGGTTACGAGTTCTAGGTACGTGGTACAAATTTCAGGTTACCAGCATGAGATACGGGGTATCAAATTTCAGGTAATGAGTTCTAGGTTATATTGGTTCCATATACGGTTAATGGGACCGCGGGTCTAGCAGCGGAGACAAGTGGCCCTTTTCCGATTTTTGCCTAGATTTAGGGACATTTTATTGGCAACGTCGCACATTATTAGTTTCGACAACGTCGCACGTACCTGTCATCTCGTATTGTGTATCTCATTTCAGGTTATGAGTTCATGTAAATGGGGCCCCCGAAAAATGGAGCCACGGGTCTAGCAGCGGGGACACGCATGTGGCCCCTTTGCTGACGTCACTTGGGTTAGGCCTCTTCAAATTGGGGCTTGCCAAAAAATGGGGCCACGAAAAAAAATGGGGCCCCGAAATGGGACACAGGCTCACCTGGGTTAGGCCTCTTCAATTTGGGGCTTCTCTGATGACGGGCGCGGGCCCCAGAACGAGTGTGACGTCACTTCCGCTGTGGAACTCTTGTAGTTCATCTACTCTTGTCAACTTTGATTCTGTGACCCAGCTATTTGTATAAATTGTCTTTTTTCTGTCCAAGCCTATAATAACCCATTAGCTTTGTCATCGCGTGGGTATTGGCAAAGTTAACATCAATGGAGAATTGCTCAACAACATCAGATATGCCATTTTTTCAGACAGTTTTGAGGGATTACAACAGCTTATGAACAGAGTGGCAGACATCAGTGAACAGTATGGACTTAATCTAAATAAAGGAAAAAACAAATACATGGTTATTAGTAAGAATCAAGCACTACCTGACCCCCTAGTAGTAAATAATCAAAATTTAGAGAAAGGTGAAAAGTTTGGCCCCAATAATAATGACCAATGGGACCACCCCCAAGAAATAAAATGCCGTAGAGAGAAAGCTAGAGCAGCATTTACACAACCGGTCGAAATTTTTAAAACCCATCATCTAAACCTGAAAATGAACGTTAGATTACTTGGATGCTATGGAATCCTGGACCTTGACTCGCACAAATTGAAAAAGACCGGAAGACTTTAAAATGTGGCTGTATCGACGTGCTTTGAAGTTATCCCGGAGAGACCGTGTCACCAACAAAAAGGTCCTTGAAAGATTTTGTAAAGAAACTGAAATCCTGGAAATAATAAAGTTCAGAAAGCTTGAATACCTATGGCACATAATGAGGAATAACCAGAGATAAAACATGCTTCAATTAATGTTACAGGGCAAAGTGGTTGAAAGAAGAGGGACGTGAAGAAGACGAATATCTTGGCTTAAAAACCTTACTGATTTCGATTTCCTTCTTTCAGTTGACTGTATAGAGAATCTGTCGTGAAAGATGTTCTTCGGGTATGATGACGAGGTGGCTGCTTGATGATTACTCTCATATTCACCGCTATTTTATCCGTTGATAGGTCCTCTGCAGTATTTACGATTACCGCTTTGCAGTATCTTATTGAGTCTAATCTCTCATTTCTAGTGGCTTTGAAGATTGCCCATTGTTCTACCAAATCAAAGACCTTGCCGTAGCTTTGTGGCTAATTGGGTTGTCATTTGAAACAACATAAAGGGAAACAATTCTGATACCAAATTCAAATACGAATTCAAGCTTAATTTTTGCTTTAAAAATCTTGTTTTCAAATACATGTCAAAAGTATTGCATAGTGAATAATTAAATTATTGTAAACGCGTGAATTCTTGATGTCAGAAGGAATTAATGAAAAAGCGTAAGGACTGCACACAGAGAATATATCTAAAAATATGACATTCTACATTAACATTGTTGTGACCATATATTGGGTGTTCATCCATAAGCCTAGCCTGTGGTAGCTTACAGTCGGCCAGACCTGATTATCCTTCGTGTCCTCGTGAAGCTAGGGTTTTCCCTGAGCATCTGTAACATAACACATAAAGTTTATTTACTGCACCAAAAAAAACAAAATTACAATCTTTTCGCGTTGATGAGACTAAAGGGTTTGCTATACCAGCGAATTCCTTTATGAACTTGCAGAAATAACTAGCCAAACCTAAGAATCTTCGTACGTCATGGACAGTTTTAGTTGTTGGAAACTCTGAGACATTAATTTTGTCTGGTCCCGGCTTAATACTTTCCCCTGATAATTCGTGCCCCAATTATTCAATGCTTGATTGCAGAAAATTAGGTGTTAGCTCACGTCACACACATAACCTCAATAACACGTTTGGTCCCCTATCGAAAGTCACGTTATGTCATTGGTGACAA